CAAGCACAGTCCACAGCTGCTCATGTAGCTTGCAGCTCCCATTAGTAGAGGAATAAGCAGTGTCATGTTTGAAAACACTTGCTTGTTGGGCAAATGTCTTTTGGTAGCAGCTCTGTCCTGGGTTCAGCTACAGCAGTCATTTTTTCTCCTTCTTAGTAGCTGGTGCAGTGCTGTGTTTTTGACTTTCAGTCTGGGAACAACGCTGATAACACCGATGTTTTTAGTTGTTGCTAAGTAATGTTTACTCTGACCAAGGACTTTCTCAGTCTCATGCTTGGCCAGAGAGGAGGGGAAGCCAGGAGGAAGCAGAGGCAGGACACCTGACCCAAACTGGCCAAAGGGGAATTCCATACCACAGCACGTCATGCCCAGTATAGAAACTGGGAGGAGTTACCCGGAAGGCCCAGATCGCTGCTCGGGTCGGGCTGGGTATTGGTCGGCGGGTGGGGAGCGGTTGTGTCCTTTTCCCTTGTTATTCCTCTTATCATTATTATTGGTAGCAGTAGTGGTTTGTATTATACCTTAGTTACTGGAGAGCTGTTATCTCAACTCGTGGGAGTTACATTCCTCCGATTCTCCTCCCCATCCCTCCGGGAGCGGGGGGAGGAAGAAAAAGGGGGGGGGGTGAGCGAGCGGCTGCGTGGTTCCAAGTTGCCGGCTGGGCTTAAACCACGACAAGCTCCCATCCCCAGCTCTTCAACCTCCAGAGAATATCAGAGACTATTCTGATCTGATTTTGAGCCCGTGCTGTATGTTGGGGGTGTGTGAGAACACTGTAGGGGGCTGTCTGTGCATGTTGCAGCCACCTTCTGCTGCTCTGTAGCCCTGGCCTGGTTGTGAGGCATCTGCAGTGGATAGTTTGGAAGGGTTTCCAGGTCAGCAAACAGAGTGGAAGGTGCGGACTGGGTGGCCAAGCCAGATACAGACCTGCTTTTCTCCTCTGTTAAACAGGCTTGGGTCAGCCTCCTCTGGGGCCTCTCTGGTTTTCTGACTTTCTTAGTCCAAAATTGAGAGGTTATTTCAGTGTTTGAGAGAGTTGTGTGAGGAATTAATGTGTTGGCATGATTGTTCAGTAACAAAACAAGGTGCAGGTTAGCACTTTAGAATCAGAATTGTTGAACCTTGTGATATACTGGTGTTTTGTAGCATTAGGGGTTCCCGTTGTCTAAAGCCACCCGTGGGCCATCACTACAAGTTGAAGTTCCTGCTTATCTTGACTGTACATTTTATCAGGTGGTCTTGTTAAGAACAAGAAAGGAATTCTCAGAGAATTAAGTTTTATTCCTCGAAGATCCATAGCTTAAGGGGTTTATCCAGCTGGTTTAAGATTATATTTTCTGTAATGCCTTTTTCTTCTGGATTATTTCATAGGAGACAGTGATAACACTTGTTGGGGGATTTTCCTCTTACTTTTCAGTCTTCCAGTTGCATCTGGAGGATTCATGGAGCGCAATTTTCTTCCATCATCTAACGATTGCTTAGAATTGCCTTGCTTAGAAAATCACATAAAGAAATATGCCAGGAGTAGAGTAGAAACACTCAGGAGCAGTTGCCAAAAAGTAAAATACTGTGCGTTTTCCACAGTAGTTTCCATTCCTATTGGAGCTCAAGGAGTGTCTGGATGATGCCCTTAATCATAGGGTTGAGTTTTAGGTATTCCTGTGAGGAGCAGGGAGTTGGACTTGATGATCCTTATGGGTCCTTTCCAACCCAAGATCTTCTCTGATTCTCTTTGGTCTTTTTTGGTCCTTGAGGTTAGTTTTGTTTTCTCACACTCTTTGCGTTGCTGAACTTTCTGCCATTTTAAAGCCCCAATAGGGTTCTGCAGCTTCCCAGCGGTAATCCACAGCTCTTCAGATGGGAGAAGGAAGGCATATCCTGAATTCCTCTCATGTCTGTATGACTGGAACTGCTTTGCACATCCAGTAAAACCTACTTGTGTTCAGTAACTCACTTTTTTAGACCTCATTTGATGTATATCTTTCATTTCCTTGAAAGTGGGAACCAGGGAACCACATTTTTCTGTGTCCTTCCATCTGGGGTTGAGACTAGATACTGTTCCAGTTCCAGAAATCCAGTTCCAAATGTCCTTATTGCTGGGAAGCCTGTGGCTTCTCCTCTGCACTTGGAGGAAGAGGAGGAAGGAGAAGAGTTAAAGGGGAGCAAGAGGCCAGACAAGGCTTACGATTTAAAACACTGATCAAGTGGGGCTGGTTGGTCCCGGTTACACATGCATGAGGCTGATCTGTCACCCTGTTTGTTTAATAATTAAGGTCATGTAGAGATTTTAATTAAACAGTGAGCTCACTATATCAGGCTGGTCACCTGTAAATCACAAGTGAGTTTAGTTACCAATGGCAAGAAATGGTCCATAGTTATGTGCCACTTTGACTAAATGATGGGTGACTCGTGTCCATCGCTTGCAGGAATCTGGCACAGAGTGATATAAAACAAATGCTTCTTGTCCAGTTGGTGCCAGTAGGAAAGAGCCCATAATTCTCAGTGAGGTGGGTTTGAGCCTTGAGTAAGTACTATAGGAGCTGTTAAATTTGGAAAATGGGAAGAGTTTAAACTCCTCATTTTCCAGTATTCTTCAGCACATGGTTTTCAAATGGTGCTTAAAAAGGGGGAAATTAATGGGGTGGAACCACCATCGCTTTTTGGGGGGACCATCACATTTTTTGGGGGGAGGTTTAGATGTGACCTGCAATAGAGAAGACAGTAATGCTGTTTGTCATCTTAGTTGAAATCATTTTGGCAATAGTAGTTTCTGGAAGTGCTAGATGAGACGTCCACGGCTGGTTTTAGCAGGACAAACTGCTCTATTAATTAAGTTCTGTCCCATAAATCTCTTCTAACTTGCAATCAAATCCCAAAGTAACCAGGATCATGCTGCTATTGAAGTCTGCAGTCCAGGAGAATGGAGTTTAATATTTCATTTGCCTTGTGTTCCGCTCGGATGTGACTTGTAAGATGTCATTTTTGCATTGGGAATAAAAAGCACTAAGTCTATCTTTTAATTGCCTTGCACCACGAAACAAGTAATAAACTGTGATTTATAACAACTTCATTTTTTAATGAAAATGTATCCACATGCATTTCCTGAAAGCAAATTTCTTGGACAAATCATCTTCCTAAGTCAAAACATAATCAGTCTGACGTATCAGAAAAGGGTTCTGGCAGGAGTTAGGCGAACAGTGCCAAATCAAAGCAGAGACTGGCATTCCACACAAAGCTTACCTCACAACGGTGCGTTTGGCTCATGCTGGATACCTGCTGCAGTGACAATTCAGGTTGCTTTTTTTTCCAGGGGTACAATGCACAACTGCTGCAGTCAGTGTCAAGGAGGCAGTGTGGTTCATTGCCATTAGTTAGCCAGAGGAAATGAAATTAATAATGTTTCAGTTGATCATTTTGTGTAGTAATGGTTTCTACACATTCATTTCTCTTCATTGAGCAGATGTTAGCCTGCAAGACTTCTCCAGAGGGGAAGGGCCCTTCTTCCTCCCATCACGTGGTGCTCATGCTCCTTTCTTCCCTGTTTCTGTGGGTCCTAGATTCTTCCAGTTCTGTGGGTTCTTTGAGAAATCACCTTTAAGCTGGGTTTGGAATAACTCCTACACAACTCTAACATGAATGTCATGCTGTAAGTTCATAGGTTCCTTTTTCTGAGACAGAGATGTCCTTTTGTTGCCCTATTTTCACAACAGAAGAGAGTTTGTGTCCTCAGGGCCTAGGGCAAAGCACATTAGTGTGTGACAGAGGGAGGGCCAGAGGAGACTAAGGGAATTGCTCGTAATGCACAGTTCAGCTCAGGTTTGAAGGTTTTCAGAACCAAAAGGCATAGGCTGTTCATGCAGCTTCCAATATGCAAGTGTTATTTATACACTGATGAGAGGGGGAAGAATAAAAGCCAGGCAGGCAGCCAGAGCCCTGTAGACGTTTCATTTTGCTTTATTTTGGAGCTTTCATCGAAGGGTGCTGCTGAGATGTCTTTTATTGGTTTGCTTTTCTTTTTATCACAGAAGTGATATTCAGCAGCCAGGTTCCTGCCTCTTCACGATGCTTTTCAGATGTCTGGGCACTCTTCAAGCCTCGTGCAGACTTTGCTTGTGTGCCTTTGCTCCTGAAGTTAAGCAAACTCTGTAATCAAATATGACAGGAAGTGTTGATTCACTGCTGCCTTGGAGTTTGCCTTAGTTCTGAGCTTCCAAAAGCTCAGGTAGTCCGTTCTAGCAGCATCCTCACAACTGATATTGTCGACCATGGGAAGATCCCATGGTGAGGCACTGTCACAGGGTGCTGAGGCCCTGGCACAGGGTGCCCAGAGGAGCTGGGGCTGCCCCATCCCTGGCAGTGTTCAAGGCCAGGTTGGACACAGGGGCTTAGAGTGACATGGTGGCAGGGGGTTGGAACTGGATGAGCTTTAAGGTCCCTTCCAACCCAAACCAGTCTGGGATTCTGGGATGGTTCTATGATCCCTAGTGTTTAACTTCACCTGTATTTTCTCACACGCAGCGCCAGTGCTTTGATTTACAAACACATCTGATTTTTAACCTTTCTTTTCCTTGGTAAAATCATAGAATTAGCAAGTCATTTGAGATTTCCACTCATTGCTGGTTGTGTCACAGTAAACATTACACTCATTTATTTGGCTGAACCCCAATTCCATGAGAAATGATTGTGATATTCTGCCACAACAGGTCACAGGGCAGAGGAAGGGCTGTTGTACTGGAGCCTTTTTGTACTTGGTGTATGCCAAATGTACTCAGTTATCTTTATTTAAAACCTCTTTCCACCCTCACCCTTCAGTATTCTACTGAATGCTATTGCTCAAATGCTTACAGGGGGAATAAGTATAAACCTTCTGATCTCTTCAAAGTGACTTTGTGTCTTATTTTAAACCATAGTTGCTTCGAGGTTACTGTATTCCTGCAAGTGGAAATTTGCTCCTTTAGCCACAATAGTCTCATGCTTCCATGATTTCTTGTTGTCCACAGAGCCCCCAACTCCCATCGCCCCCCCCGAGCTGCTGGCTGTCGGTGCCACGTACCTGTGGATCAAGCCCAATGCCAACTCCATCATTGGAGATGGGCCCATCATACTGAAAGAGGTGGAGTACCGGACGACCACGGGGAATTGGGCTGAAACACACATCGTAGACTCTCCTAATTACAAATTGTGGCATTTGGACCCTGATGTGGAGTATGAGATCCGGGTGCTGCTCACTCGCCCTGGAGAAGGAGGCACCGGCCCCCCTGGACCACCGCTCACAACAAGGACTAAGTGTGCAGGTAGGTTGCTACAGCTTCGGAGTACAGCAGAGATGCTTTTTTCCACTACTATAGTAACAAATGGTCTTCCTCACATCCCTGTAGATGTGCTTTGTCAGTGGTCTGAATTAACATGATGAATTTTCCTGTATCCTGGAACATTTTACTTCCTATTTCATAGGCAAGTGTTCAGGGAACTGTTGTTTTTATGCATGTCGTGTATTTGCCAGACTTTCTGCTCTGCTGTACGGCTGCTTTCTGTTGGAATGGGCCAGAGGATGAGACTTTTCTAACCAGTTCTCCAGAAGGCAAATTGTTCCTAAGACTGGTCAATATGAAATCGTCACCCTGTAAGCGCATGAAAAAGATATGTTGTTCTTAGGTTCAGCTTCAATTCTTAACAAATAGTGCTGTCCGTTCATGAGTGCAGTGTGGTGAAGTGGGAAGCGTTTAGTTTCTTGTATTCCATTTGGTGGAAGTGAGTCTTCTCCTCACTCCTGACAAAGAAACCTGTTCAAATGCTGAGCAGCGTCTTCCCTTTCTCTTTCATATTGGAACAGATCAATTTTGCTCCGGGGACAGGAAGTGTCTGTCCTCTTTCTAAGCTATATTGGCCTTTCCAGGAAAAAACAAGAGATCATGTTTCTCATGTTTCAGATATAATGGCTGAATATATGGTCTCATACATTAATCGTTAGCCATTAAAGGAAATCAAGCTCTGTGCTTTGCAAGGGGATGAACAAGGCAGTTTTCTATCCTGCACTTTTTCCCTCCACACAACTGTCTTCTCAAGGTTTGCATTTCTGTAATGTTTGCAGCATCCTCCCTGTCCTGTGAACAAAGAACAGACGAAAAGGCTGCTCTCCTCTCTCTAAATCCTTCGTTCCTCACAAGTTAGTGGTTTGCAGCAACTGGATTGAAGTAATGCAAAGCTCATACAAAAGCATTCTGGTTCCAGTTACTCTTTCTGACGAAACAGCAAGGCTGCAGGGGGAGGAATGCCTTAAGAACAGCCGGATCCCTCCTGGGATGGGATTGAGCAGTGCAGTGTTAGCCTTCCTCACCCATTATCCCAGCAGCTGATGCTGAGCATCCCCAGCAGCATCCTCTTCCTCTACCAAGAGAGGAAGCAGGGCAGGTTGTGTGCATTGTGGGGCAGGGGGGCACACCCTTACTGCCTTTCCTTTACTACACAGGTTATAAAGCACTGAACATTTAGTGTATCTTTAGAAGAATTGGTAAAAACCATAAATCTGCGCTTGAGGATGTGGTGTGGAGGTGTTTGCTGTGTTCAGCATCTGTCCATTGGCAGAACGCAGATGTTTGGAGGCTTTTCTGTAGCTAGGTAGAAAGCATAAAGTGACATGGGTGATGTCCTGACCTGTTTGGGAAATGGGCACATGCTCTGGTACTCATCTTTGGCTGTCTCCTGCTCTAGTGTGGGCACATTATCTAACCCTCAGCAGAAATAACTGCAGGCCAGGCCTGGGACTGGGCATTTGCAGATGGAAATAGGATGCGCTGAGCTGGTGTGGTTCATGTGTTGGGACTCTGCAGATACGTTCTGCTGCAACCAAACTTGGCTGTATTACCTGTGAAGAAACTATGCTCTAGCTTACTGCAGGGGTAAAAATAAAACAACAGAAAGGCTGTTGGCTTTGTGCTGAATGATGTCTTGTACTGGATCCCCAATTGCTCAGCACAGGTATTGATGAACATCATGAAGGATGCCATGGATAATGTGTTCCAGTTGGGTGAGCTGAGCAACTCACTATTTTCTGTCCTAATTTACTAATGAAAATCTACCTGGAGAAGGTCATTCTGTTAATGATAGTTGTCATAGAGAGCTTGTGGAGATTGATGGTGATGGCATTTAGGTTCTTTGGGGTGGAGAAATTGTAATGATCTTCATTCTAAGTATAGATTTGAAGAAAGGGATAGACTTACCCAATATCTGAAGATGTACAGCTTCCACAAAATGCCAGCTGATATGAGGGAGAGGAAAATGCAACTCATTATTCCAATTTCCTTATATCATGGGACTCCCTCAAAATACCCTATGTTGAGGATAATTACACAAAACTTCCATGGTAAAGATACTAAATGATGCACTGAACCCAGAAGGCAGCACTGCGTCCTTCGTTTTTCTTAGAGTGCCTAATGACATCAGTGAAAATTGAGGGGTTTTAAATAGGTGAGGGATGAGTGATGCTGCTGTTTTCAGGTGAAGTTTTGGTTCTTTGTCATTATTTTTTCTTAGCAAGAGGCAAGTACCAAACTGCTACACATCTGTCTGCAGTCAGTAGGTGACCGGAGTTGTCCTATTTTACTGGACTGTTTAGTGTTGGCACTGTGTTTATTGTAGTCCCTAATAAGGGATAACAAAATTGGCTGCAGAAGTAATGGTAGAGTGTATCACCTAAACTGGTGAAGAAGTAGGTACTTATTTAAATAGATATTTAAATGAAGACTTTCTTCCCTGTGAGGGTGCTGAGACGCTGGCACAGGGTGCCCAGAGAAGCTGTGGCTGCCCCATCCCTGGCAGTGTTCAAGGCCAGGCTGGACACAGGGGCTTGGAGCAACCTGCTCTAGTGGAAGGTGTCCCTGCCCATGGCAGGGGGTTGGAGCTGGATGAGCTTTAAGGTCCCTTCCAACACAAACCACTCTGGGATGTTGTGATTAAATTGCAAGAAATCAGTATAACCGTAAACACAAGATGTCTGTGACCTTCCAACACTGAGGAGTCAATGTCCCTTTTACTAAACAATCTTATTAGCATCTTTTCACATAGACATTGGATACTCGTGTGCTAGGGAGTAGCATTTTTATTTTCATCTCTAAATCAGAAGAGGATTTGGGAAGGACCAGGTTTTACTTACACTTCAAATCAAGCATCAGAAGCTCACTTACAGAGCTGCAGTTGTCTCCTGTGAGTTTCTTGACTCTCAACCTTGCATCAGAGCAAAAGCATGACCAGAATGCACAGCATGAGCTTACAAAGTCGTTACACCATAACGGAACTCATATCAAGATCATTTAGTATTTTTAGGTTGTGGATCAGAGTGAATGGAAGTTGATTTCATGGACTTAAAAAGTTTTTCATTATATAAACCCCATAAAAACTAATTATCAAAAGTCTTGCTCTTGAGCACAAAGAAGTTTTATTAAACTGGATAATATCTAATCTGAAATTCTATAACCAGTATGTGCCTGGGCATCTGTTACCCACTGGTGATGCTTTTGGTTTCTACAGGACAGCATTATAAGACTTCATTTCTATTTGATCTTTAGAAGTGATACTGAAAATTAAGTCCCAGCTTGCTTCTGTCCAGGAAAAGCCAATGGCCAGAAAACATGGCGAACCCTGCCCTTGGAAATGAGCGATCTTATTTTGTTGGGGTTTTTTTGGCTGTGGATGGTTTGTTTGGGTCTTTTTTCCATTGGCTCTGATAGGGTGTGACATGGGACAGGAGAAGATTGAATGACCTCGAGGCATAAAGTAGTGAACTGTCAGTGAGAGGGAAGAGTTGCTCAGCAGGAAGTGAGGAAACAAGAAAGAGTGCTTAAAATTAAGACCAGACCCAGGGCTGACAGGTGGTTAAAGGAAAAGAAGATACAAAATATTAGGGTTTAGTCCCAAAATAATGGTTATGGGGAGATAGCAGGATCAGAATAGTATGTTTGCACACAGTTCCCAGCAGCATGTAGAAGTTTAGCACTGGTTTTTTTTTAGCCATCCACAATAGTTAATCAGAGCTCCTTAAAATCTTTATTTGATGGGCTCCATTCAAATGAGTGTGCTTTGGAAAGCTGTGATTTGGGAAGCTTGGGGCTTGTTTTCTGCTCTCTGCTTATTTACCATCCCCCTGCTTTTTTCTTTCTCCAGTAACCAAGGAGAAAGGGAGAAGAGGGAAAAGTCCTTTTTTCCTCTGGGGGATGGGGAAGGGCATACCTTGCAAATGGAGTCCTAACAGCGTGGGGGGAGTCTCCTCTGAAAAGTGTTTTCCTTCTAGTGGGATGAGCTCACATGAAAAGCAAGGCCAGTGAGTATCGTTTAAATGAGTATTAATAAAGGGACAGAGATAAGACTTTCATTAAAAATAGTATTTAGACGTGGTTAACTGGTGTCTGGAAAAGGCTCTCTTGGACGTGAGCTTCTCTGCCTGTTTGGATGATGACAGCAGGTGACTCCTAAGCTCCCCATACCCCAGCAGTGCACGCTTGAGGTCAGAACCCCCCTATGTGCTGTTCCTGCACCCCTAGAGCATGAGCAGCTACTCGAGGGAGGGGATCCTGCCCCTCTGCTGAGCTCTGGGGAGACACCCCCCCCCTGCAGTCCTGATCCAGCTCTGGGGAACAGCACAAGAGGGACGTGGAGCTGCTGGAGCGAGGCCAGAGGAGGCCACAGAGCTGCTGCGAGGGCTGGAGCAGCTCTGCTCTGGAGCCAGGCTGAGAGAGCTGGGCTGGGGCAGCTGGAGAAGAGAAGGCTCCTGAAGGGGACACCTTAGAGCAGCTCCAGTGCCTGAAGCGGCTCCAGGAAACCTGGAGAGGGGCTTTGGACAAGGGCCTGTAGGGACAGGACAAGGGGAATGGCTTGAACCTGCCAGAGGGGAGATTGAGATGTGCTCTGAGGCAGAAGCTCTTCCCTGTGAGGGTGGTGAGGCGCTGGCACAGGGTGCCCAGAGAAGCTGTGGCTGCCCCATCCCTGGCAGTGTTCAAGGCCAGGGTGGACACAGGGGCTTGGAGCAACCTGCTCTAGTGGAAGGTGTCCCTGCCCATGGCAGGGAGTTGGGGCTGGATGAGCTTTCGCATCCCTTCCAACCAAAACCAGTCTGGGATGCTGTCAAGATGAGGAGGGTTTCGTGGCTTGGAAGCAGGAAACTTCCCAGTCTAACAGGAGTATCGCTTGGTAAGGAATGGGAGGAGAGAAAAAGTCCTGAGAAACCCCGTAATGTGCCCCTCCAAGGTGTGTCAGTAATTCTTCATTGGACATGCTTGTCACAATGGGAGGTTTGTTTTCA